TTCCGCGATCCTGTATGGCAATTAACGTTTGCCGCGGGAGTTTCGTATAGCAATGGCGGACTTGAAACATCGGACAATCGAGCCACGCTGTTTTCGAAAAAATGCGCAATAAAACACACGAACTCTTTGTACGTCTATGACGCTTTGTGCGTCTACGATGTCTCAATCAAGGTCTGTCGAACGCATATGCGCGTAGAAAAGAGGAAAAAATAAAGGAAAAGGAAACTTTAGCACTTTCCTTGGAAGTGATCGGTGTCTCTCGTATTTCATAGACACATCAATCAGCGGTAATCCCGCTCGAAATAATGAATCATACGGTAGTGAAAAAAAGAAAAAGAAAAAAAAGGATGATAGCCAAGTATTGGCGGGGAATTATGGCATTCTCGCGAAACCACGTTATTTAATACGAGCGTTCTTCTTCCAAGAATGTCCATTTAACAGGTCGAGTCTTTTTATTATTTTCTCTTTTTGTTCGTTTAACTATAGGATGAAAGATTCGTTTGATCCGAACAACTTTCCTCTAAGGATGTCTGTAGGATGAGGTTTCTTATTTTTTGATCGTTCGGTTATAAGGAAAGTCCATGGTAGAAAAAGAACACGAACGTCATACGACGATGGGGAAAATCATGGAAAACCTCATCACCTGTTCACTGGAAACAGGGTCATTGCGACAGTGACGCGAATAAAGCAAATTAATATACTTATTTAGTAAAGTTATTGTCGCTATTTGTTCAACTGCGTTCACGAACGTTCGAGACTAATTGAAAATTACGTTTTACCTGGAAACACGACGAGAGCAAAAATTAATAAGAATCATAACCAGAGTCATTCCGCGGCGCTTGTACATTTCCATGAGAGGTGGCGAGCTGCCAAGTAACACATGGAAAATTCTTCAATCGTCCGTGTGGAGACGGAATAATAAAATGATCTTGCATCGGATAATATCGTGTCAAGCTTCGTTTGCTTTACGACTGACTCTTTTTTTTGCACCGACATAGGTTACATAGGTTAAATAAAATATCTTATAAACAAGTGTTCGACAAGATACCACAATTACGATTCGATTCCGCTTCAATTCATCTTCAATTGCTGGAAAGATACTTCAACGTGCATATGATATATCGATGTTAAACATACATAGTTTTATCCTATTCTCTATTTATTTATTCTAATATTAAAACACCTTGAATAATATGTATGTACCTTGGATATATGCACGTTTTATATATGCGAAAACATTTGAGAAATTCACTTAGTCCTGATATAATATATCTTGTAGTAACAACTCTCGACACGTGTTGTTGTTACTAAGAATGTCAAGTATCCCGCGTGTCATACAGATTTTTATATGACTTATGATCTATCTGATGAAAAAAAAAAAAAAAAAAAAAGAAAGGAAGACAACTATTCAAAATATTCTGATATCAAAACTAATATTAGATCTCTAAAAAATTGAACATTAATCAGTTTTAAATAGAAATATTATTTCTGATAAATTGTGAAAATCGAGACTTCTAGAGAACGTGTGATATAAGACATGTTAGTAATGTCAGAATCGAGATGTATAATTAATCGTTGCTATGAATGATTCTGTTGCATAAACTTGATTTTCGTCCGATACTACGATAAAGATTAGCTTCGAGATAGTATTAATTAAAAATATATATGACGCAAGAAGTGTATATAAAAATCAGAATGACACGAGAACAATCCTCTAATTGTTTCAGACAATGTGTCTTTCAAAAAAGTATACAAGTCGCTGAGCTTTAATATTCCTTAATTAATAATTAATTAATAATCGAACCTTATTGCATTATCAATGATAAAGTGCAACAGAAATTTAAACAGAAATTTTATAGGAACGTAAGACACTCGTGAAGCTGGTTTTTCGTTTTTTGTGACAGAAACGAAAACACTCGTGATGACAATGAAAATAAAATGATGAATAAAAATAAAAATTGAGGAAACGACAATGAATGATAAAAATAAAAATGAGAAATCACAGAATGGATTCGTTTGATAAAATTTGTCGCTCTTTTAAATTCCAAACGAAGAAGCATATCATGACACAGCATACATTCCGTTTCGACGAATTCCATTTAATCGGACCAAATCTTGGTCAATACTATTCTATTCTATCGCTTCATTTGCACATATTCGTCGAACGTTGATTTACGCGCGCGTACTTCCCTTCCATTTGACGCAAACTTCCATTTAACGAGAAGAAACGACAAAAAAAAAAAAGAGGAGAGAAAAAAAGAACACCTATAGGAAAATAAGAGCAGACCGGTTTATAGGACTGGCTAATTCGCGAACCGCGTGGATTACGCGCGCAATGTCTCGCTGTCCTGACGCAGAGCAAGTGCCACTCCGTTTCCGTGCTGCTAGAGCGGCCTTGATGCATGAAAGTAAGATCTCGTCTCATTTAGAACACTGTGGCGATGGAATCAAGGCGCGTATGATAGCCGCCTCGATCCGATGTATGCGACCACCGTATCGTCGTGATCTATGCAACATTATATTCTTAACGATTCTCTATTCCAATATAACGCACGGATCTTTAACATTAGATAAGGAGAAGGCCACGTCCCGAAACTTCCGGCTTGTCGTTCGTCTAAAATCTAACATCGATTCAAGACAAATAGAGATCATCAGCGAGTTAATGCCGTTACATAATTTACTGCTACGCTAACAACGTGCATACGCCTTCGTTCAGAAGTTTCCACCCTCCTCTTCTCATGTGAGATAAATCCTTTCCTTTTTTTTTTTTTTTTNTTTTTTTTGAGAAATATGGACATAGCGGTTGTGAGTTTCAGTTCGAATTATATAATTAACGCTAGAACCACTTGCGAAATTCAAGGAATAGGGAAAGTAGTATAATATAATAGAAAATTTTAGTATTGAAAATTTAGTATATATTAAAATTTGTAGTATAATATAATAGAAAACGTGAGCCATTTCTCTCTAAACATATCTGGTTCCAGTGTTAATTACAGTTTTTTGTGTTTTCAAGTATCAACAGTGTAGCACCGTTTCTTTCGAATACGCTCGAAACTTTTGAGCGACAGATAACTTAGTTACGTTAAAAACTGGTATTTCGATCGCGATTCTTCCCCGCGGTTGTTTCACCTGGAATCGGAATTCCTGGAATCGTGACAACGCGGAACAGGTGTGCGATACAGTATTCGATCTAGATCAAGTATGATTAATACTTTTGCAAACGTCAGGCAAATACCTCTTTCCTTTTTTTTTTCAACATCCTTTACAATTTAAATTTCAAAAAGTTGCTCGATCGTCCTATGCTTGTAAAAGATAATGGTTAATAGCTGAACCGTGTACATTTTTGAAATTCATTCGACCAATCTTAATCAGAAATTAAATCTATACCTATATAATAAGGAGCACGTAAGAAACTAAATATAAATTCATCTTTAAGCATAGATCGCTCGATGTATTTAATTAATTGTGCGAAGCATTTCTATACGATACTCTAGCGTGGACTGAAGGGATTAAAGTCTCTTAAAATCCAATGGCTGAAACAATGATAAAGGCTCACTGTCACGGTAGTTAATTTGATAATATTTGAATATATTTAAAAAAAAATTAATAAATTTCTAATTAAAAAAAAAATTAATAATAAAGGGATCGTACGCATATGTGAATCGAACGATCGTCTAACTTGTATAGGACTGTCCTGTTATAGGGGAAATCTGAAGAATTAGTTCTGCTCGTCTCTCTTTCTCTTTTCACCGCGTACGCGCGATTTGTTTCCCTTCATGGGGAATTCACGGTGAGTGTAGGACGAACCACGGAAATTCTGGCCGCTGTTGGTAATTCCGAAATGTCTTGCGTCTTTGACTGATTCGTGACGTGTCCGTGACGTCAATCGCACGGAAACGATCACAGAAAATTTCCTATTGTCTCGCAAAAACAAGACAGGGAATATCGTGCACGCGCTATTTATAGAATCGCTTGCCGGTATGATTTCCCTGTTAATAGCGACGCTAATTACATTGGTAACAGCTCCGAGCTAGTTATCCGAGCGATTATTTAGAAATTACCGGTTAGCTCAACGTTTTGTCTGCACAAAATTTTCGCTCGATATCGGATCGTCGAAAAATCTGTGATAAACACGATGGTCTTGTTTCTTACGAGCAAAAAAAAAAAAAAAAAGAAAAGGGAGAGAAAAAAGAACCTGCTTCGAGATCTTTGTACGCGACATATTATAGATTAATTGATGTAAGAAATACAGAGGTGAAATTAGAATTCTACATCGAGTACGAACGATGACATTTACGAGAAGTTCTCGAGAAGTCTAGAAAAAGTTGTGCGAAAAAGAAAGAATACAGGCGAACTAAACAATTAAAGAAACAGTGAAACCTGTAATTAATCTGTAAATCCTCGTGATAATCCTTTCGAGAACTCACAGCGGTGCGTTTTTGGCAATTTACAAACAAAAGCTTGTTACCAAGCAAATTTTCCTTACCCTCGTTTCTTTTTTTCTGGCACGAGTTTCACACTGTAGTCGCCGATAGTCACGAATACTCTCATCAACGAGAAAAAAAAAAAAAAAAAAAAAAAAAAAAAAAAAAAAAAAAAAAAAAGAAAAAGAAGAAAGAAAAAAAGAATCAGATGACAGTAGAAAACGAACGCTTTACGCGATACTTGGCGATATTTTCGAAAAATCAACGCCCTCCCACAGACAGAGGAAGAAACGCAGGCTGAGGGTGATCTCGAGGGACAGGACTTGACGAAACGAAAAAGAGGAAAAAGCAAAGGATGGCGATCGAAGTCACCTCGTGGTGTTCGAATAGCTGGTTTGCGCGACCGGCGGAATCAGCGAGTACGCGGTGGTGGTAGCGGCGGCGGCGGCGGCGGCGGCGGCGGTGGTGGTGGCGACGCGACGGCTGCAGCCGATGGACCACCCGAAACGAGGGTGGGGTGGGGGCACCCCCTGACCCCGGCATTAGCCGGCGGTGAAGGGAGGCAACGTTTATATGCGGCGGCAATCCGCCCCGTGGACGCATTCGCTCGTACGCTTCATCCAAAGCGGACTCACGCACGAGGAGAGACTCGTTGTTTGATCGTCACAGCGTCGCCGTCCGTTGTTGTTGTCGTTTGCCGTCGAGTCAGACAATCGTCGAATTGCGACTGAGAGAGGCAGAGAGGCAACAGAAAGTCTTCCATCCGAGAGAGGTTTGCCAGTGCGAAGCGGTTGCGCTCTCGTTAAAAAGAAACAGAGAGAGAAACAGGCCGTCGAGAGGAGGATTTCGGTGGATCGGTGATTGGCACAGTATCGAGTCAACGAGTCATCGTTATCCCGGTGCTATCCTCGTCGATAAGACGGCGGTGAAAAGCTTCCAGGCGCTCAGAGATTATTCGAAAGCTTGAAGAGTTTTCACTGAAGAAGAACAACACGGCGGATATGATGGCTGTCGCAGCGGCACAGAAGAATCGCGAGATGTTCGCTATCAAGAAATCTTACAGCATCGAGGTGAGTGGTTTTGGATTGTCTGTTTGAAATCACCAAATCATGTAGCGGGTAGTTGCGTTGCAGTTACAAAGATAAAAGAGAGAAGAAAAAAAAAAGAAAAATGAGGAAGACATTTCGAACGGGATCCGATTACGCGTCGATGCTTTCGTGGTACTGTTTAGAAAGTATCGGGACGGATAATTGTCGAAGGAAACGCAAAGTCGAGTGTTAAACGGTGCCGCGGATAGAACCGCGCGGGAAAGCGCGGGAACTTCGCCGCTCGTTTGAATTGCCACGGTTCTCGCGCGTTCTACCGCACGTAATTGCGAGCGCTCCGCGCCGCCGGTACCCGCGTCCAATTAATTTTACTTTCCCGTTTAATTTCGTTAACGTAACGCACGACAACTTTCCAAACGTGATCTTCGATCCGCCGTTCCTTTCCACGAAACGTTCCGCGGGAACAACATGTTCGTCTAACATGTAAGAGGCGCATACATTAATTGAAGACGAAGCGTTCCGAGATCTGTTCGGAACTTTCTTACACGGGAGAATCATTCAGCCTTTCGTGTTTTGCCTACGTGACTTTCGTGACGGACGTGTGTTCGATGTATTTCGTAACAGGTAAAAGGAAAAAACGGAAGAGAAAAAGAAAGAAAGAGAAAAAAAGAAATAATAAATGACAAGCCGTGCCGGTGTGCGAGCGCGTGTGCACGCACGCACACAGACGAGCGGCGCGAGTGAAATTCTCAAACTGGAAACGAAGAAGAGAGGCCCGAAAAAGTATAGAGAAAGTACACGCGACTAATTACCGCGACGGTTGCGCAATGTAATATCGATAACCTTGCCGTTAGGATTCACCGCTGTTCATCCCATGATGCTAGTCATAGTTAACGGACGATCGTAACGACACGTTGTTGTGAAGTTTTTCCTACGTTCCGACGCCGGACGTTTCGAACTGAAAAGTCGAACGAGAGAGTCGAAGGAAGGGAAACATCGGAAGGCGACGAAACGAGGTGAAAACGACGACGCGAGAGCCAGAAATCGGCGTGAAGAGCGTGCACGTACGGTTTTCCATCCCGATCGTTTAACTTCCGTAGCGGAGGTTTTCACGTGAATTCGTAATGCCACAACATCGGTGCCATAATATCGTCACAAATCGTCGCTCCGATCGCCGCGTGTCAAAGCGGTTCCAGCACGACGATAAACGGCACGTCGCTATTTAGCGGCTTAAGTAAGTAATTACAGCCTCGATTCTCGCGGTTCTTCAAACGAACACGCGTAATTCCCTCGGAATCACGCGCGGCTACGGAGAATCGCGTGCGCCGGCTCGCGAAGCACGATCCTAGACCGACAATAATACGTAGTGTCCTGGCAATAACGGCGCGCTACACCTTCGACAAACGGTATAGCGCAATAATCACTTTCAATCGAGAGCCTCCTCATTCGAGGCCGATGATTCTTTTTTTTTTTTTTTTTTTTTCCATTCATACACAGTCACGGGAGCTCCGCCTCGGTACGGTTCCTCCCGAGAATTAGAATCGCGAAGGACGCGTGTGTTTTTCTCTTTTTTTCTTTTTTTTTTTTCTCTTTTTTATCTTTTCCTCTTTTTCTTTTTCAAATCGCACGGTAACGAACGGTTTAATTGGCATCCTGGCAAGGCCTGCGACGAAACTTTTTCATTCACGCCTCTTCGTGATGCCTCATCATCGGTACGTCTCGCGTCGATCGTGATTCATTAGACACACGCACCCAAACGTGTCACGATCCAACGTTCTATTTACGCAATCCCTCGGGTTTTCCACCATGTTCCCTCCTATTTTAAGGCGCGAGATCGCGGTCTCTCGTCGTTTTTCATTCAACCTGTTTTCATTCGCCTGTTTTAAATTGGAAATTTACTCGAAAATTCTGCATAGGAGAATCCGACGAAACCCGGTGAGTCAAGGAGCTTCTGATCGCGATTAATAATTTCACGGAACTGGTGCCAGTTGTTTTCTCGAGAACTGACACGAGCCGAGGTAATGACATTCGAGCTGCTCCATCCTACGGGCCCGAATTTTTATACAAACAGAATTTCTGTCCAACGATCTCAGGACAATTTCAAGATTTCGAACGTCGAAATGTCGTGAGAAAGCTGGCAGTTGAATCGATCTCGGTGTCCGAGGAGCACGTTAGACACGTCGAACTGTCGTGAACGAAAGTGCCGAACTTCGCTCGACGACGTGAAATTTCTCAGTTGCGCGTTTCACCTCTCCAGAGAAGCACCAGAGATCCCGTGTTTGACTCGTGCGGGCATCCGATCCCTTACTTTCTCCGCGTTCAATCCTGAATCTTACCAGACGTTTGGACGCGTGTGTCGACGCACTGGCACTCGGTTGGGCAAACAATCTGACGAAACATTGAAAATCATTGTATCACGCGTCATTTTGTCGGAGCATTTTTTCGACATCGTCGGAGCCACGAGTAATATTGTCCACAACAACCCGTGTGCCGTAACTCGGTTCGTTTCCGTTCGGCACGTAATGCATCTGTTGCATATGTAAACGTATATATTCAGCTATGCACTGTTAACGACAATGGTAAAGAACGACAACGACGACGATAACTCTGACTCATTCGAACGGAACTCGCCGAGCACGCCGGATCTAGATATCAGATCCAGAATCCGCTATTCGCGCCGTTCGTTCGATCCTTATCGATCGTGTTCGCGTCACTCGGACGAAGGGGGTGAAGAACGACCCGGCCTTGTTACGTTCCCCATTACGCGTTTCCAATGGCTACTTCATCGCCGTATTGTCTGTACTTTCCTCGCGACTTTTATCTCTTTGGAAAGCCGCGATGATTAGTCAGAGTTCGACAGAGATTGCACGAGAAACGAAGATTATCTTTTGGTTTTTGGTAAAGGTGAGGAGGCAAAAAGAATGATCATCTGATAGTTTGGTAAAGATTTGGAGAATTCAGATTTGATCAGTTTGCGTGACTTGATTTAACATTCGTTTCTGGTCAATTGCAAATTGCAAAAAGAAAAAAGGTGGGGAAGAATTAAAATTTCCAGACGTAAACTCTGAAAAGTAGGTTTGATCAGTTCGAAACTATTTTTTCCGTGATTTAACCTTCGTTTCTGGTAAATTGCAAATTGCAAAAAGAAAAAAGATGGGAAAGAATTAAAATTTCCAGACGTGAACTCTAAAAAGTAGGTTTGGTCAGTTCGAAACTATTTTCTGCGTGATTTAACCTTCGTTTCTGGTAAATTGCAAATTGCAGAAAAAAAAGATGGGAAAGAATTAAAATTTCCAGACGTGAACTCTGAAAAGTAGGTTTGATCAGTTCGAAACTATTTTCTGCGTGATTTAACTTTCGTTTCTGGTAAATTGCAAATTATAGAAAAAAAAAGAGGAAAAGAATTAAAATTTCCAGACGTGAACTCTGAAAAGTAGGTTTGATCAGTTCGAAACTATTTTCTGCGCGATTTGATTTAACCTTCGTCTCTGGTACACTGCAATGAATATAAAAGAAGAAAATTGTAAAAACTTCCGTGTCTGATTAGAAAATATCGAAATCGTAGTTTATCAGTAACAGGTATCAGTATCATATAAAATCTCCAAATCGTTCCACAATGGAACGTTGCGTCGGAGAGATCTTTACAATGCACAGATTTGCTTAAAATTCACGTAGTGACTGCATCCAGTCGTCGCATCTACTGATTCATCGACAAATGATTTTTCGAGCATTTTCCTCTTCGACTGATCAAATCAGCCGATCACGCTCGATTTGTTACAAAATTTTCGACGATCAGCCACCCTCGACGCACGAAGCCAAGAGAAGTTAGGCGACCGCGCGGCAGGATAATCGCGTAATCGTACCACGTTGCAAAATCAAAGTCGACCTCGGCTACCGCATGATAATTATGAATATCTTATAAATATGAGAACGAAGTGATTGTAAGTCCAACGGTTGGCCGAGAAGCGCTGAGAGGCCCTGAACACTGTGTTTTAAACTCCGTTATTCGCCTTTGGAGGCTCGCCACACGCGCGGCAACGCCTCTAAACCACTCGTCGACGACATCGCGACGATCAATCGAAACGTACACGCGCAGGCAAAACATAATGCATAATCGCTCGTCGATCCACTATGTTAATCGTTCTAATTAAATTCCCTGTTTTGCCCATTTCAATCATCCGGCATGACTCCTGAGAAAAATCATGTTAATGCACAAGATGCATTATGCATACCGATCGTATAAACATCGGCGCGACAGTTGTCGTCTTACAACTTCTTTTTTTTTTTTACATTTTTTCCCTCTCCCTTTTATGTTTTTTTTTTTTTTTTTCTAATCGAGAACTGCTTATCGGAATTTCAATGTTATTCGCGCGAGTCCTTGTCGCCTGTTTACGAGATCACTGTTTGACGTCGAGACGAACGTCCCGTTGCTAAAAATTAATCGACACGAATCGTTTGTCGCTCGACGTCACCGTGACTCGATCGAGTGAATGTAATTTGCAATAACGTGGAATTCGATTCGTGGCATCGCGGTACAACTCGTCTCGTTGTTTAACTGGCAGCCACTTGCATTTTCTGTAATGCATAATAGGTGTTACGTCGCCAAGACCGTGTGGAGTAACACTAATAGCGCTAGGGGGTATGATTTTAATGGTGAAATAATGATCGACCTTGGATGCATTTGTCACGCATCATTACGCGGCTTCACGGGCAAAGAATACCAGTCCTCTGCGAATATTTCAATCAACCGACTCGAGTTCTATGTCAGAAATCTCTGTGTCAAGTTAATTCTTCCACCGTTTGAATTAATTCTTCCACAAAAAAGAAAAAAGAAAAAAAAATATCAAACGAGCAATGACGAGAGATTCGAGTTGAAATAAAATGACAACAAATATTTGATTCATTCCGCGATTTTCTGTTGTTCGGTTCAATCAACGTTTATTCTCTTATTAGAAACGAATCCTAACGCAAACAGTGAAACAGAGAGAACAACTTACGTTATTATTCTATAAATCGTAGAAAACGCATCTACTGATTGAGCGAAATTAAATTAACCAGAATCGGTCATTAATTGAACACGAATCTCAACGCGAAAGGATCATATTGGTCAAAGTCGATCGCATTTTCTTCATTAAGCTGAACCGGTTAATCGTCGCGTGACGCATTGATCCGATAGAGTCATCGGTCATCTATCCGTTCCATCGACGAAGTACTTGGCCCAGTTCGCGCGATGCGTTGTTAAGGGATTACTAACACACGTTTTCTCTAAACCGTGCCAACCGCTTTGCACGCTTGGAAAATGGAACTCGATGCCACCTTGTGACATTCATGAAAAGCGGTCGTTCTGAATTTGAATGATGCGTCTAAATTGCATCCACAAAGAGTTCGAGAGTTTTGTCAAATTCCTTCTTCAAACAGTTTTCTTTCTCTTTTTTTCTTTCTTTTTCGTCCTTCAGTAAATTCGAAAGAAAAAGAAAAAAATTCTTTTCTAGAAAATAAAGAGTGTCCTTGCAAAATAGAAAATTTTTCCAGCAAGAGTAAAGAACTGTCTTATCGTAGAGAGAAAACTCTTAGAATCCTTTTTTTTTTTTTTTTTTAACGAGAGCAAAGAATTTCCTTCGCCAAGTTCCTTTCACTCAGATAACAAAGGGGAAAAATCGAATTGTGAGGATCAATTGATGCACGATGCTCTTTGCGGGAACGCGAAACGCTTTGTGTCGAGGTTCGCTAATTTCCGAGCCTTCAACAGCAGCCGGATGACCGCTAATTTCCGCGTCTTCGAACCTTTATCGGGATTATCCACCGTGTGCTGTCACCAATTTCTCAGAGTTAGGTAAACTCTGGCTCGCCGCAAAGGTGGAGTTGGAGCATCGAGATTTCACTCGCCAATAGGATATCCGTCGTTTAAGGAGTTCACACGCGATTCTAATCGTACAGTCTGTAGGAGTTTATGCAAATTTGTATTCCTGTGAATAGAATCGAAGAAATGAAATCTAAATATAGTATCTTGTTTCATCCACATAATGTGCCTTGAACAATTTATGTATTTAGCATCGACTCGTTTGCGTGATAAATTAACTCGGTCGCTATTCCATGGTTCGGTATTATTTATTCAAAAATTAGTAAATTGTACCATGTATTTCGATAAAAGATCCATCATGAAAAATCAAATTGTTATTTTCATTTCAACTTTTCTGAATTTATTATCAATATTTAATAATTGCAATACTGAACAATTGAATTAATGACAAATAATTTAATGATAATCAGCCCAGTTTTGATAATAATAAATATTATATATTATTATTTATAATAATAAATATTATATATTATTATTTAAATATTATTAATATATAAATATTATTTAATGATAATTAATGACAAATATTGTATGATATAATTAGTATTTAATAGGCAATGAGTTAAATTTCTATAAACACACGCAATAATATACGTGTGGCACGTTGCGAAATACTCTTGATTAAACATTGGGATATCGTTTCGTGTGTTTAGAATGGTTATCCAGCGAGACGACGATCCCTAGTGGATGATGCTCGTTTCGAGACGTTGGTTGTCAAGCAAACGAAACAGAGCGTTCTCGAAGAAGCACGTCAACGAGCAAACGGTAAGTAATAATCTTCTATTCTCAACGTCGTTTAATAATTGTAATACGTTCTCCAAGTTTCTCTATTCCACGTTTGTTGTTGCATGCGATCGATGTGAGAATCCTTTTTTGTATTTTGCATTTTGAATAAACGTGATTTAGTAATTTAGTTCTACATAGTTCCGCGATAGTGTAACGACGTTGCATGATAATTTTGTTAAACTTGATAGGCGATGAGACTACCGAACGTTATTCTTCGTCGAGCGACGACGAACAGGTGGAAACGTTGGCTTGCGCTGCCAAAGATGGAGGTTCGTATTTATTTAATGAAATTTATCGATTTCGTTGGCACGAGGCGTACGAGCACGAGGTATGATTAAATGTAGCATGTTGCATGAATGCGCAATTGTTTTTGACTTGCAGAAGCTAAAGCGGAAGTTTCGTCGGACAGCGACGTTGGCAAACCGGAGGATTACGACAATGGTAAGCGTAATAAAGTGTTCTGTTAATTTTCCTTCAAACATTTGATATAATTCTCACGACTTAAAACTTTGAAACGTGATTAGATCAAGCCATCAACCATTTTCGAACCATGTGGAATATAATAATTTCAAATAATTCGGGACTCGACAAAAATTGTATATTCTACGTGCATTCACAGTTATAATTTGATTTCGATGGGCTTTGGAACAAATCAAAGAAAAAGGTCAGAAGTAAGTCATACACTCTTGGCATGAGAAAGAGATCGAGAAGATCGGTAAGAATCCTGAAAGATGCGGGTCATCAGCAGGGTGCGCGAAGAGGATAGGGTAAATGGAGAGCTCTATTGTAAATGGCATCATACCTGATGCCAAAGAGAGTTGAAGCAAGCGCTTTCCGACACTTGGCTGAATTACGCGGACGACCTCTTTCCGCCCTTTCCCGACCATTTCTCCCCGATGCCTCTCCCCTTTCCCACCTCTTCCCCACCGGCCGTCCTTTCGCCACTTTTTCGAATCCGCTTTGTGCATTTAGAATCGTATTAACCGGGAGGCCCCCGGACTTCTCAAACGCCCCCGTACGTCCACGATAAATGTATAACAGAGTTATTTCTTTTTTACCGTCTCCATCTTTGCACGCCCGGGTCCCCGGCACGTCCGTGAGCGACAATAAGAGCTACTTTATTCTGTCCCCATTTCCCACACCCCTCGACTGCAACTCGCAGCCCGTATAAAAGTCGGAGACATTTCTCGGAAATGGACTTTGAATTGCCCGATTATTACAGAGTCCGCGGGAAATCACTTATCACGCCTCGAAATACCGGGCGAGGAATCGCTCGATCTTGAATTACTGATAACCTAAAAGCTTCGACCCTTAATTACTTCCACGTGTCTCTCTCTCTCTTTAGGATTTCATTTTAAAAAGGAACAAAGGAATTTCATTCTCACTTGCGTATGCAAATCAACGTACGTGCACGACATTATAAGTCGATATATAAACATTTAAGTCTCAAATTGATAATACAAAAGACTTCGATTCTACGGGTCCGATTTTAGTCAAATAACTTTGATTCGTGGCTTGCTCCGACACGAAAGTGTCTGCGAAGGATTTTTCATCTGAATTTTGACGAAAACAATCTGTCGTTTCACTTCAGACGTTGGACTGACCGAGGAAGAGGTGGTACTCGCTAAAACTATAGCGGAATGCCCGGAGAGCGAGTACACCGTGCAAAAGGCAGCGCTCGTTTTGCGTCTGAGGGAGGGGATCAGTTCGTTGGCGAGGATCTTGAAGACGATCGAGAACTTCAAGGGAACGGTGACCCACGTCGAGTCACGGCCATCGAAGAGGGAAGGTGTTCAGTTCGAGGTGCTCGTCAAGGTCGACATGTCCAGGCAGAGCTTGCTGCAGCTGATCAGAAATCTCCGCCAGAGTTCCGCGTTGGACGGCGTCAGCCTGCTCGCGGACAATTCCGTCAGCATCAAAGATCCCTGGTTCCCAAGGCACGCGTCCGAACTGGACAACTGCAACCATTTGATGACCAAGTACGAGCCTGACCTCGACATGAGCCATCCTGGATTCGCCGACAAGGAGTATCGCGCTCGTAGGAAGATGATCGCGGAGATTGCATTCGCGTACAAGTACGGCGATCCGGTGCCCAGCATCCCTTACACCGAGACGGAGAACGATACATGGTCCCGCGTGTTCAACACGCTCGTCGACTTGATACCGAAGCACGCCTGCGTGGAGTATCGGAGAGTCTTCAAGAAGCTGCAAGACGAGAAGATCTTCGAGTCTCATCGTATACCTCAGCTGCAGGAAGTCAGTGAATTCCTGAAGAAGAACACCGGGTTCACGTTGAGACCGGCGGCTGGATTGCTCACCGCTCGGGACTTTTTGTCCAGCCTCGCGTTCAGGGTGTTTCAGAGCACTCAGTACATCCGTCATGTCAAGAGCCCTTACCACACGCCGGAACCGTAAGTTTTCATTTCAAACGAGTTTCTGCATTCGTGCGTCTTTTAAATCAAAATATTCCCGAGGAGGGCGATTTTTTCCCTTTTCTTTCATTCGACGGTTCTCTACTTTCTTCATTCTTGATTTTACTATTCGATTTCCTTGTTCTACTAATTTCTACTTTCCTTGTTCTTCATTTCACTATACGGGTTATTTCAAGTTCGCGTTAGAAAGATCCTCCTCCCGTGCGAAAATATACGCGAGAGCAATCGATACTGGGTTATGACGAGACCTTCCTGTTGCACAGAGAAGGATAATAATAGAATTACCGTGCCTCTCTAAGCTCGTAATGGAGCTCTAATTGGCTTTTAACGACACGATGGCGTTGATAACTCAGTTTCACGAGTTGCGAACTCGTTTCTCCGCCGGGATAGTTCGTTGGAATTTTCGATTTCTGCCAAACTACGTCGCGCGCGTTGCAGAAAAGAAATTCGAAACAATCACATTTAATTCCATCGATTCGTTACTTATTATTATTATTATTACTATTATTATTATTATTATTATTATTTTCCTTCTCACGGTGCATTTTCCGTAAATGTAATATCGCGCGGTTCATGTAATCTCCGTAGATCGATTCTACTCCAACGCGCAATTTTAGATAATGAAATTACACATTGCAATTAGTTGGCAGATGAAAACCAATCCCCCGTTAATACTCACTTAACATACAATTAATTGTCATCGTTCGATGTCAACGAGCGAAATAAGAGGAACAACGTGATATTGCATCGGCAGACGTGTCCAATCGAAACGATTTCGTTAATTGTTGTCTTTTTCATTTGCAGAGACGCTATCCACGAACTTCTCGGGCACATGCCACTGCTAGCCGATCCAAGTTTCGCTCAATTCTCTCAGGAAATCGGCCTGGCCTCGCTCGGAGCCTCCGACGAAGAAATTGAAAAATTATCCACCATTTATTGGTTCACCGTTGAGTTCGGCCTTTGCAAGGAGGGCGCCGAGGTGAAAGCTTACGGCGCCGGTCTCCTGTCCGCTTACGGAGAGCTTCTTCACGCGCTGAGCGACAAATGCGAGCACAGGCCCTTCGAGCCAAAGACTACTGCCGTTCAAAAGTACCAGGACCAGGAATACCAACCGATTTATTACGTGGCGGAAAGCTTCGAGGACGCGAAAGAAAAGTTCCGTCGCTGGGTAAGTAACGATCGATGCTGGAGATTTCAACGCCGGGTAGTGGCGCGCTGATACATACAGGGTGTTTCGTAAACTTGTGGGACCCACTTCGGGAGCTGATTGCACGCCTAAAAATAATGAAAGAAAGTAAAATATAAATATATGCCCTATCCGTCTTCGTTTATGGGATATAATGAATTTTCTGTTTTAATTATTTTAACAAAAGATGCTCGAAAATAACCACCTTGCATTTGAAGACAAGCCTGTACGCGTCTTGTCATTCATCTGGTTACTCTCTCTATCATTCCTGGTGTTTCTCGAATTTGTCGGAAGCCTTGCTCTATTCTATTTCGTAGTATTTCAGCATTTTCAATCGACGTTGCGTATACAATAGATTTTAAATGTCCCTACAAGTGAAAATCTAATGGATTCAAAACCGGAGAACGAGCAGGCCATGCAATAGGACCTTCACGACCAATCCATTTATTTGCAAAGTGTTGATTTAAAAATTGCCTAGCCACTCGGCTAAAA